AGTTGTGCCAGAATTACCTAATTAAAAACAAAATTAAAAACTCCAAACTAAAATACCTCATCATTAAAAGATTTTTTTTTTTTTGTGAAGAATTTCTTATTAATCCAAAGAAACAATGTAATGCTAGTCCCAAAGCAAAAGCATGAGAAATGACAGACATAGACATTAAGAAGGAAGAACGGCAGTAGACTCTGTTTGGAATAGTTAGGCATTGTCCAATTAACTAATTTTCTTAAATTGAGTAATTTTACTTTCAAGTGAAAAATTTTTAGGCATAACAAGCAAAGAAACGCACCTGTTATGCATAATTGTTAATAATAAATAATGTTTATATTTAAAGTTTTACATTACACCTTTAGAATTAATATACTAGTAATAATACCTATATGGCAAAGGCATAGGTTAAAATGTACGTAATTTTTTCCAAAAAAAAAAAAAAAAAAATAATAATCATAGGTAGTGTAATATTTATTCAGACTGGTTATTACTCCTAGGCAATATAATATAGTTCCAACAATCCCATTGTGTATATATAATATTTGTCATATATAATTAAGAAAACTAAACATATAGTTTGCATAATTTTTAATTGTTAGTAATTTTAGTCTGCAAAAGAAATTAGGATATAGTTTATTGTGCCACATGATCTCTAAGTTTTTCAAGTGGGTGATACTCAGCCATTTCAAGTAGGCCTAGCAAACAGGTCGGCTGAGTCAGGTTGAAATAGGTCACAGGTCAACCCATGCGTTGACCTTGTTGAACTTTTTTTTTTTCCACTTTTTTTATACCTTTTTAAATCTAAAAGACTGAGTATTGGAAAAGCAAAGCAACTAAGTTCTATAAATGGGCTCTCAATTAATTCCAATTCTAAAAATTTAAGAATCAAAATAGGGAGAAGAAGAAAAAAAACGAAAAGAAAGACACTCATTGTTGTAGCACTGCTAATTGGAAAAAATAAGTATTGGTAAGTGATATGGCTTTCTGTGTGGCTACACAAAGAAATGAATATCCAACAATTATATTTTGGGAGGAAAAAATGAGGGATTTAGAGTGGAAATTGTTTTAGATTATTTTATTATTTTAATAAAATAAGATAAATTATTAAAAAAATAAATGGGTCAAATAGGTTGTCTTGTTGACCCATCGAGTTAACCCCTTATCGACCTATGATCCAACAGGTTCTCTTAATGGGTTATTAAGAAGTCACAAATCAGAAATGACTGACCTTAACCCATTTTAAATAGGTAGGTCATAGGCAAGCTAACGCATCAAGCTAAGAATTGTCAAATCTAATTCCAAATTGAGAAATGCAACCTACAAAATGAATGAATGCATCATGCCATTGACAGTGAAAGGATAAGGACAATTATTAGTCCCCAAAATTAAAACCAAAACGAAAGTGAAATGAGGAACATATTAGCTCAGTAGAAGGAAAAACAACCAATAACTTGTCACAATTTTCAACTGTTAATGATTCGAGTTTGCAAAAGGAATCTACATGCACTTTGCTGTGCCATATCATCTCTAAGTTTTTCAAGTGGGTGATAGTCAACCGTTCCAAGTTGAGAAATGCAGCCTACATCATGAATGAAAGCATCAAGCCGTTGACAGTGAAGGGATAAGGACAATTATTAGTCCCCAAAATTAAAACCAAAACGAAAGTGAAATGAGGAACATATTACCTCAGTAAAAGGAAAAACAGTCAATAACTTGTCACAATTTACAACTTTTAATGATTCCAGTTTGCAAAAGGAATCTACATGCACTTTGCTGTGCCATATCATCTCCAAGTTTTTCAAGTGGCTGATAGTCAACCGTTCCAAGTTGGGAAATGCAGCCTACATCATGAATGAAAGCATCATGCCGTTGACAGTGAAGAGATAAGGACAATTATTAGTCCCCAAAATTAAAACCAAAACGAAAGTGAAATGAGGAACATATTACCTCAGTAGAAGGAAAAACAGTCAATAACTTGTCACAATTTACAACTGTTAAGGATTCCAGTTTACAAAAGAAATCTGCATGCACTTTGCTGTGCCATATCACCTCCAAGTTTTTCAAGTAGTTGATAGTCAACCGTTCCAAGTTGGGAAATGCAACCTACATCATGAATGAAAGCATCATGCCGTTGACAGTGAAGGGATAAGGACAATTATTAGTCCCCAAAATTAAAATCAAAACGAAAGTGAAATGTGGAACATATTACCTCAGTAGAAGGAAAAATAGTCAATAACTTGTCACAATTTTCAATTGTTAACGATTCCAGTTTGCAAAAGGAATCTGCATGCACTTTGCTGTGCCATATCATCTCCAAGCTTTTCAAGTGGGTGATAGTCAACCCTTCCAAGTTGGGAAATGCAGCCTACATAATGAATGAAAGCATCATGCCGTTGACAGTGAAAGGATAAGGACAATTATTAATCCCCAAAATTAAAACCAAAACGAGAGTGAAATGAGGAACATATTACCTCAGTAGAAGGAAAAACAGCCAATAACTTGTCACAATTTTCAACTGTTAATGATTCCAGTTTGCAAAAGGAATCTGCATGCACTTTGTTGTGCCATATTATCTCCAAGTTTTTCAAGTGGGTGATAGTCAACTGTTTCAAGTCAGGAAATGCAACCTACATAATGAATGAAAGCATCATGCCATTGACAGTGAAGGGATAAGGACAATTATTAGCCCTTAAAATTAAAACCAAAACGAAAGTGAAATGAGAAACATATTACATGTTCATTGAAGAGCGTTTGTATGTAAGCTATGCAACTTGTGCTTTCAGAATATATAATTGTGAATCCCTCAAATTTTGGGCGGTTCAATCCTTCCAAATCCTTTAAGGATGGGAATTCAACAATATAATTTTCTAAGTAGAATCCAACAATGTTTTGAAAGTCTTTTATCAATAGGTAGTTCAATTGAGGAAAAATCAAATTCTCTTTTTTTTTTTGCATTCTTTGGGAATATAATCACTCTCATCCTCTTGCATTCCCTCATTTCAAGTTGTTCAAGCATCACCAAACCTCTAGCCACACAAGATGAGAATAAAAATTCCAAATTATCAAAGCCTTGAATGATCAATTTCTTCAATTTCTTGACACAAAAAGATGTTATTGAAGTGAGCCATTTGATGTTAACATTCATCCAGCATAATTGCAGCTACTCTAGGCTTGGTAACACAACTTGTATACAATTCATTTTGTAAGAAAAGCTTATCATTTTGTTGATGGATAAGAAAAAGGATGGTCAATGGTGTTAAAAATTGTCAAATGGAGGAGTTAAGCCATGTACTCCTTAATTGTAGCTGGACTGTAGGTGGTGGTGTCTTAACTCGTTATTTCTAGGGAGTACAGTTATATGATAAGCACAATTTTTGCGTTGCACGTAAATCTGTAAGGAAAATTTGGTCATTACTGTTTTTTGTTATCACTTGGATTGTGTGGATAATGGATATGCAAAAACAAAGGGTTACTTAAAGGGGAGGACTGACCTACTTATAAGGCTCTCTAATTGATTCAAATTAAAGGAGATCATTTATGTGGACAACAAGCAATTAAGGGGGACGGTTATGCTATCTCTTATTCAGATTGGTGTCTCAATCTTGCTATTTGTGCTTCAGGACTGACCAACAAAAGAAGTTACCAAGATAGATGGAAGTAGAAATTGCATCAGAAGGCCAATGTGATGGAACCAGGCGGGTAACTGCACCACTAATTCCTATATATTTTGAGTGTGTATTGGTTTCGGCAGGCCTTAAATTAATAAGCACCACTAGAAGTATGTGTGCAATTGGATATAATTTAGGGGGTGCCAAGTTAGAATGTTGTTTATAAGTAATTCTGTAAATGATTAAAAGTATTATGACAGAAAAATTCTGCTTTTGCTGATAAAAAAATCCATGAATTTTAAACTAAACCACTATAAAAACAAGAAAAAAGAAGAGATTTTTTGAAGTAAGTTGTGCTAGATTTACTTAATTAAAAACAACATTAAAACTCCAAATTAAAATACCTCATCACCAAAAGATTCTTTTGGTGAAAAATGACAATTCAGAAGCAAAAACTTGAGAAATGACACACGTAGACATTTAGAATGAAGGATGGCAGTAAACTTTGTTTGGGATGGTTAAACATTGTCCGATTAACTGATTTTTTTAAATTGAATAATTTTACTTTTTAACTTTTTAGTGGAGAATTTTTTTATTTTTTTTTTAGTAAAGGTAATTTTTTACAAATATTCCTACCATGCTATGGGATGAGGGAAAAGGATTCTTGGGAAATCAAATATTAAATCTGGGATGGTGTTTCCACTGAAGGACAATTTTTTAAGTAGAGAATTTTTAGGCACAACAAGTGAAGAGACATCTGTTGTACGTCATAGTTAATAATCAAAAATTTTTGTATTTAAAGTATTACGTTACACCTTTAGAATTAATATAGTAATAATAACAAGTAATGTAATATTTATACAAATGGGTTATTACTCATAGTTAATAAAATATAGTTTCAATAATCCTATTGTGTATATATAATTTATTATATATAATTACAAAAACTAAATATACATCTTTTCAATTGATCAAGAAAATTAATTATAATATTATTTATGAAGAATAAGCAAACATATATTTACACTTGAATTAAATCTAACATATGTAAAAAAGTTTTAAACACAATTTGGATGATTGAGATGTTTAATTTGTTCAAATATTAGGAAAAAAATTATATAAGTTTTGTAGTGTTTGATTCTTCTTATAATTATATTTTTTGAGAACCTTCTATTATTGGTTGTTACTCGAATTTGCTGCAATTATGGTTCTTTTAGGCACAATTGTCTGAGGTAATTAATATATTTATAAAGGTAATTAGGTGGAGATAATAGCAGCATCGACACTGAAGAAACAAATACTCTGTAAAAATATAATAAAATAATTTTTGCAAAATAACTGACCTTATCACTGAAGAAAGGTTGAGTAGGGATAACAGGACTTTCTTCACTTTCTGTGTCATTAGTTGTTATCTCTTTCTTTTGGTCACTTGAAAATGAAGAAGCAAAAGCAGCCAAAGCTGGGCAGTTAATAACTGTAATTTTGTACAACCGTGGAAACTCAAGCCGACTACTTCCCTCATAGAAACATTTCAAGTTGGGACAAGACTCTAAAATAATAGTGAATAGCTCAGGAAGCAGGTCCTCAGCTCCTTCTCCTATGATCACTTGCTCCATTGCAGCACAGTTTGCAACTTTCAAACGCCAGAGTTGCGTGAGGCCCAACGCCATAGAAGTGGTTAGAAGGTATCTGAAACTGTTACAGTTACAAACTTCTAGAGATCCAAGGCTTTTGAAAGGCAAGATTTCTTGAGGTTTCTTATTCCAAATTTCAATCAACTCAGGAAATTCAGAGAACTTTAAATTCTCCAACCCACAGTATCCAACCTTCAAGATGCAATAGATTAATCGCTAGTTAAACCATAAGAAACAATAGCAATTCTATTAATAACAGTAAGGGAAAAAATAAAAAAATAAAAAGCCCTCTGCCTATTTGATAAAAATTAGATTGAACAAAAACAAAAACAATTCCTTAAAATTTTCAAGTCACAATTTGTGCCTATCAGAAATTTACAGCATCGCCTTAGAAATTTCCAGAAAATTATGTTACAATCCCAAGACAAATAATCTATTCCAAAATTTTTATTGGAATTTAAGTCTACATTTAATATGATTGTGGTTTTTTAATTTTAGTTTTCATTAATTTTGTAACTACTAAAAATTAAAATTAAAAATAAAAAATTAACAATTTGTTTAAATTGAACACTAACAACAAAAAATATAAATTGATTTTAATAATATTAAAATTATTTTTATTTTTATTTTTTTAATAATCAATAGTAATACACTACGATAACACATGAAAGCA